TAAATCAGTCGTAGTGATAAGAGCAGACCAGTCCCTACAAGCAGCACTCGTTCACGAGTATGACGGATCACTGCGCTCGACCATATTTTAGAGAGCCCAATGACCCGGCCCACCACGCCGCCACATGTCTGGACATTTTAGTGAGCATGACTACTCATTCCACTCGACCACGTCACAGCTACAAAAATTACTATATGGTAGTTACAGTATTCGCACTTCACATGAGGATGCATGCGGCAATCAATACAAAAGCCGCTACGCTATCATATATCAAGAAAGCAGTATGAAAAATAAATTATAACGTTGTCCGCAAATAAACTTATACTTGCTATATATTGCTATCATCTATAAGTTCATCTATCCTATAATAGGCTTTTTTACATAACATTTGTTTAATATAAAATTTGAATTGCCTCTCTGTCAAATATAAAATGTTCTGAATATCTGTAACTTAATTTAAAGTCAAAAAATAAATTACTTCTTCGTGCGTATACCTATTTAAATATATACTTCTCTGAGGTTACTTAATTTGAACTTTAAAAGCTTCACTTTGCGGATACCGACTGAACATTTCGTTAATTACTTACATTAACTATCAATTCACTTCCACCAACATTTCACGAAAGCGTAAAGTAATTGCCTTTAAATCAGATCTGACTTCGCTTCGGTAAGTGGTAAACTGGTAATGAGAAAATGGCGAATGGCAGCAGGCAGAGAGGGGAGTTACCATTCCATCATTTCTTCGACAAGTATATTATAAGTGAGATCATATACAGATACTGGCTGTCCCGGCAAACGGTTTGCCATATAAATTAAGAACGCTATAAAAAGTAGGGGTTGGTGATAGAAGGGTGAAAATTTAAGATTGCATGTAGAATAGAAAATCATTTATTCAAATAAACTTACATTGAAGCACTTTTGAATAGTCAACATTTTTTAAATCTACCGCTTATTCGGAAAGCTGTCTCATCACAAGAAGAATAAGCAAGAAACTTGTATGTTGCTCTTTTAAACAATCCTTGTAAGTTCACATTTTACAAGTCGATATGTGTGAATACAAACTACCATATACTATAAGTGAGATCATACACAGATATATATACAGATACTGGCTGTCCCGGCAAACGGTTTGCCATATAAATTAATAACGTTAAAAAAAAATAGGGGTTGGTGATAGAAGGTTGAAAACTTAGGGTTGTATGTATTTTTTAATGACACATAATAAGGAAATATATATAAAAAAATTTGCCCAAAAAATAATGTTAGGGGTGGACAACCCTTATCAATTAGGTGTATGACAAATAGATAGTAGCTGATTCTCAGTCGACAATGCCGTGAAATATAGTGGGGAACAATAGAAATGTGAGCAAATCACATTTCTATTCTATTCTATTATTCTATTGGATCTATCTACGGAACTGGACGGTGAGGAAAAAATTAAAATTATAATTTAAAAAAATTTACGTTCATAAGCGACTAAAATGTCCCACGTGATTTTTTTTTGGCAAACATGCATAGGGCCGCCTGATGGTAAATGGTTACCGTAGCCTATGGACGCCTGAAACACCAGGGGTGTGCGCGTTGCCGACACTTAAGAAACCTTAATATACCCTTCTTGAAAAACCCCATGCTGTAGTCTCGTGAGAAAACCTCGGCAGGTAGTTCATTCACTACCTAAGTGTACGCGGGAGGAAGCTCCTCTGAAACCGCACTGTCTGAGACCACTTAGGTTCCAGCGTGTGGATGAATGTGAGTGGCGCGATGGTAAAAGGTGGCCGTAGGCATCATGTCGTGAATAATTAAAATTATTTTTGACTTTTATAATAATAGTAACAATAATAATCTCAGGATAATTCACACAGCGCCACCTAGACCCAAGTTAAGCTAGCTAAAGCTTGTGTTATGGGTACTAGATAACTGATACCTATACATAGATATTTTTTGTAAATACATACATATTATACATAGAAAACACCCAGACCGATACAAACAATCTCATGAATAGAAATGTTTGTGCCGTGCGAGGAATCGAACCCGCGACCATCGGTCGTAAACCGGTGTGCTTGACCGCTAGACCACCGAGATGGTCATATTAAATTTGTTATTTATATATACACTTCGAGTAAATGGCGTGCAGTAGTCGTCACTAGTAGAATATTATGTTAATTATTAAGATTAAGTGAATGACTCGTCATCACAAGCACGAAATGGATTTAATTTTTGAAATAGTTTTACCGAAACTATATATTACGTTATTTATATACGTCCGGAGGGTCGTGTTGTTTTTTTATACATGGGCCATTTACCAGCCATTACGTGCAGGTATATATTTAACTAGCTTTTGCCTGCGGCTTCGCTCGCGTTAATTTGTCCCCTTAGGGGTGGAGTTTATCAAAATCCTATTTAAGCGAACGTCTTCATCATAGTAGCTCCAATCTTTAATTTCAGTTCAATCAGTCGAATATCTAAGAAGATTTATACAAATTTTATCCCATTAGGGGTGGAATTTATCAAAATCCTTTCTTAGGGGATGGGTATGTCATAGTAGCTTTATGCATGCAAAGTCTCAGTGCGATCGGTTTAAAATTGACAAAGTTTCATCCCCTATTATATCCACTTGGGGGTAGAATTAATCAAAATCCTTTCTTAGCGGATGCCTACGTCATAACATGTACCTGCATGCCAAATTTCAGCCCGATTCGTCTAGTGGTTTGGGCTGTGCGTTGATAGATCACTATGTCAGTCACCTTTGAGTTATATATATTTAGACTAGCTATATTTTTGGGACTATATTTTTTGTTTTCTTATTCTAAACTAACTTAAGATTGTCTCTAAGAGATTGCTTTATGTGATGAGGCCGCCTTTTGTTTATTACATTTATATTAAGTTCTATTTTTGTTAATACTTTTCTGTGCACAATAAACAGTTATATTATTATAACTATTCCACGCGACTTCGTCCGCGTGGAATTTAACTTTATTTTTCTAAAATTAAAGCAACCTAAGTTACTCTTTATTACATCAGCTACCTGCCAAAAAAAGTCCCGTCAAAATCGGTCCAGCCATTTCAGAGATTAGCCGAAACAAACTGACAGACAGACAAAAATTGAAAAAATGTTATTTTGGTGCAAGTACCGTATTTATATTCATATGCTTGTAGTAAAAAACGGTTATTTCAATAATACAAACAGACACTGCAATTTTATTTATATGTATAGATGTTACAGTCGCCTACCTGAGATCACACTTGCACGGTATCTCACGCTGTTACTTAGCTAATGAGAGTGCTGATTTATCTCGGTATGTCATTTGCGAGTCAGTCCATTCGGCTTTAAGTTATACTGTGTCGGAACTTGATAACTTAGCATCGCCGGTTGGGTACAGGTCTCTCGTAATAGCAAGGTTTAGACCATTAACGTACTTTACAAGACTTCACACTTCAAGAACTCACTTGAATCCTGTTAAATTACTCTTCAACAAGTCACTTGAATCCCATCAAAAACATAAATGTGAAATGATAGCCGAGTTCAATATTATGATATATGCCTTGATTGTTGACTTCTACGACAGAGGTGAGATCTAAATGGGTGCCAAGTTCGATGGTCTGTCCTGAAATTTATTTATAACAATTTAAAAATCATTTCTTCTTATAACTTAGGATAATATATTGTAGCCTAAGGTCTGACTTGGCCAGTTCTCATATACTAATTATTACTTTCGATGGCTAGTTACTACTAATAATAAAATAGGAACCGACAAGTAACAGGTTTAGAACTTGCGAAGGCTACAGTATATTTCGTATATGAAATTTTAACATTTGACAGGTTTATGTGAAAGAGTTTTTGAGTTATGAGGGGTCAAAAGTGGCTCCAAATGGTTTGTGTAAAACTACACACCGTGCTGCTCGCCAGTTCTCTTACTTGAACTCGGCTTTGACACGCTCCCGCGTGTCTAGATAGAATGGAAAATTCTTTATTACAATAAACTTTACTTTAAGCACTTTTGAATTAACAATTATTTTTTAATAAACCGTTCATTAGAAAATCTGTCTTATGTTGTCATAAATAAGCAAGAAAATTGCGTGCTGCTCTTTTAAGGAAACGTATAGTTATACTTGACGTTTTAAATTGTGTGACAACAAACTTGCAACTATCGACTAACTATCAATCAGATAAAACCTTATTTCTATTCTATTTGAGTTGCATCAAAAACGTAAATTCTTTACGCATCTATAATTAAGTGAAACATATTTAATTAAGTCATTACTTAAATGCCAGTTGTGTATCTATGTGTATCTAGAAATAATAATAATCTCAGGACAATTCACACAGCGCCATCTAGTCCCAAGTTAAGCTAGCTAAAGCTTGTGTTATGGGTACTAGATACTGATACAAATACATAGATATTTTATTTTGTAAATACATACATATTATACATAGATAACCAGACCGAAACAAACAATCATAGGTACTCATGTATACAAATGTTTGTGCCGTGCGAGAAATCGAACTTGCGACCATTGGAAGTAAGGCAGCGTGTTAAACCGCGCATCGTGTCAAATTAATGATTTGTTTTTTTAATAAACCGCTCATTCAGAAACCTGTCTTATGACAAGAAATATAAGCAAGGAAATTGCATGTTGCTCTTATAAATAAACGTTAAGTTAAACGTAAAGTTACATTTCACAATTTGCTTTAAAAAAAATAAACTAAAATATTCAATTGAGTTTCTTGCCAGTTCTTCTCAATTGGATCTATATACTGAACTGGATGGTAGGGGAAAAATTATAATATAAAAAAAAATACGTTCATAAGACTCATCATAAGACACACGACTAATTCTTTGTCCGAGGTAGCTGCCAGCTCTTCGGTCTCCTGTGATGTTTATTTCAGTTATTTAGATTACTTTTTTAGTTACTTAGAGGGTCAGTTGTAAAATATATATCTAGAAATGTTTTTTCATTATAGTATTCCTAATATTTTGATTTGTTTCTTCTTTCAGGAACTAGTCAACTGCTAACTGGGAATTATCTAAATTATGTAAGTAACTAACAAATAATCAACTTTGGTTTAATTAAATAGTTTATATTTACCCACAAACATGAACACACATTATCAAACATACAACATTTTACCACATTTTTAACACATTTATCAAACTAAATATAAATTTTTGTATGTTGTATACATACAACATACAAAAATTTATCAAGGTTCGATCTGTTTCCATTTATTTTTAATATATCTAGTAATATTTGTATGAAATAAAAGTGGGTATAAGCAAAAATATTATTTGTTAAACTAACTGAGCTTGTGAATATATTGCATCTAATTTCATCAATTACATAATTAATATGACTCTAGAAATGATCTATACATCTATACATATAAATAAAATTGGGGTGTCTGTTTGTAATATTGATATAACCGTTTTTTACTATATGCATATGAATATAAATACGGTACATACACCAAAATAACATTTTTTACAATATTTGTTTTTTTGTCTGTCTGTCTGTTTATTCCGATAGTATTTTGCCGTTCTATTTATTCTGACGGGCCTTATTTTGCCAAAAGGCCCAAGGCTATAAAATAGGGGAAGACAGTTTGTATGAAACTTTGTCAATTTTTAACCGATCGGCCTGAGACTTTGCATGCATAAAGCTACTATGACGTAGGCATCCTCTAAGAGAGGATTTTGATAAATTCCACCCCTAAGGAGATATATTAACGTGAGCGAAGCCGCGGGCAAAAGCTAGAGAACATATAAAAATGTGCAAATAGTTTGCACCACACTGATTACGTTCCAAAATAACAGTGAATCTGTGCTGAATTGAAATCAATAGTGTATAGACATGAGAGCGCACTGCTGCGTCTACTAGACTTATATGAATAGGTACATTCCACAATCATAAACCCGTACAGTCGGACGCATAAATTAGGCATTTAAATACAAAGGGGCTAGCTAGTAATTACAGTAAAGGCAGTGTGTAGCTCGGCTAATCTGTCGGCAGCGGGGTTCTGAGGCGCCGCCGGAAAGCCTTTCCGTGTTCCGCTGCTGTCCCCCTCGGTCCCCTTGCGCCCCCTCGCTCCCCCCGCGTCGCCGGCACAATTAAACCGATCCGTTGATGAATAACTTTCGATTAAAATAGTCGGATTAAATGAGCTCGCCTGTACCTGGTACGGTATTAAGTGTGCAACAGTATATAGACTACTTTCACGATTTGCATTGATTTTTTAATTATGTACCTTCGGGTAGCTAATTATGTAAATGAGTGGTTTAAAAAGTTTTTAATGTCTCATATCTGGTTTGTTGTTTTAATGAAACATTACCTTTTCGCGAACATTTCATTGTGCGTGTCGTTATAAAAAAATTAACCGGTATATTCATATCGTTGTTTAATTGATAATTATTGAACCTTCCGTTCTGTAAATGTAATAATAAACTCTTGCAATAGTATACAATTAAGTATTGTAGGTATGTACAGACATAAATATCTTTCAAGAAAATAGTGGCCACAAAGTCGCTGTCGCTGTCTGTCCGTCCCTATGCTCAGTTCAGCTGTTCTCAAGTTTTAGCGAGATTAACGAACAGCAATTAACTTTTGTATATATATAGTATATTTTAGCCAAATTCATTCAGTGCTGTAGAAAACATAAGCATAAAATTTTAAGAAAAATTAACAATGTAAGTACATGGTCAGCGCACGGACCAGATATATCTATGTCTTTTCCTTCATTACAAAATAATATTATTTGTAAGTGTGTCTAATTAATTGTGAGTTGTTCAAAGTAATGGATGATCACATTAATATCGTTGTTTACTGTTCGATAGTATTATCACTGGCGTCATACTCCGCGGTTACGGTGAGTCGGCCGCATTCGAACCTCGCTTCTCTGTACTCAGCTACAATTATAAAAATGATATAAACAACACATTTTCCCCAACCCAGATCCTCTGTAATATTTTTTATTTATTACTCTTTATTGCACCATAATAACAAAAAAAAAACTTATATACAAACGAAAACAATATTTAGATTATGGGTACAAAAGGCGGTCTTATCGCTTATGCGATGTCTTCCAGACAACCTTTGGGTAGAAGAGAAAAGACAGAAGGTGGTGGATGGCGCATGATGGAGTAGAAACATTAATAATATTAATATATAAAATAATACATATCATAAACATATACATTCTACATAATATATAAATACATAACTTATAAAATAAATATACAATAATATAATACAAATATATACGAGTATAGGTACACAGCAACATATATGCAATTATGAAGATGACAATTTAGTAATAAGAAAGAAAGGACAGCAGAAAGAATATTTACTGAGAGAGACAGTGCGATTTCACAGCGTTCTTGAAAATGGTTAGTGATTGCGCACTCCGTATGAAGGATGGTAGTGGGTTCCATAGTCGCACTGCGCGATATGTTATTTGATAATTGTTTCAATATCTTATTATACTATATTATACTAAACAAGCGATCCGGCTCCGGTCGCTCAAATTCAAAAATCATTTATTCATGTAGGACATTTTAACCGCTTATGAACGTCAAGTTTTTAATTTTAATGTTTTTCCCTACCGTCCAGTTCGGTATATAGATCCAATTGAGAAGAACTGGCAAGAAACTCAATTGAATTACTTTTTTTTTAAATCCAGTTTATTTACAATGCATAGGTATTTATATAGGTGTCTATGTCTAACATTAAATGAAAATCCCGTGCATGAACAACTATTGCCATGCACGCTCGTCATTCAAGTAATCGTTTAGTGAGTAATAGGTCTTGCTCTGTAAATATGATTTAACAGATGTTTTGAATTTATTTAAGGGTAATTCCAATATATCTATTCGTTGTCGCAGGGACCTCTTTTTATTAGATTTCGGCGGATGAAAGTACAAATTTGTAAACTTTGATTTAATTGAATAAAGATTACTTCTATTTCTACTATTTGTAAATAAACAACATGTATTATATATGTGGAAAGTGGATTTATGCATTTTATTTTTATTATAGTTTTATTTAAAACTAGCTGCACCCGTGACTTTGTCCGCGTGGAATTTAACTTTATTGTTTTAAAATAAAAGTAGCCTAAGTTACTCCTTATTACATCAGCTACCTGCTAATAAAAGTCCCGTCAAAATCGGTCCAGCCATTTCAGGGGTTAGCCGGAACAAACAAACCGACAGACAGACAGACAAAAATGGTAAAAAGTTTTTTTTTGTATATGTACCATATTTATATTCATATGCATGTAGTAAAAAACAGTTATTTCAATATTACAGACAGACACTTTATTTTTATTTATATGTATAGATAAAAGAATTGTAGGAGTTGACAGAACGACGTAAGACGATGTAAAGACGATTTTGAGACGTAAATAAATAATTAAATATTATAAGATTTTTCTTCAATTCTCATTCGCGATAATCACACATATATTTATTTAGTTTTAATTATTTGCAATACTTTACTTTATTATTTTATATATATACTTAATTAGCAATAAATTCTATTTAACTATGTGTTTAACACCAGTTGTTTAATTGTAACTTTATCAATTAAGAATTTCATTTAATAGTTACATCGCTTAATTAAAACATTCTGCATAAATTGCTGAACGGTTTCGAGTAAATAGCAACGTTATATATTTTTACTAGATATCCGCATAACTTCGCATGGGTGTACATGTATTATATCTGAGGAATTGTTCGGATTAATACCAGCTGCTGAGTTTCACCACCGTACCACCCGCCAGAAACTAAAATACCATCCTGATCATCTGGATGAATAGCGGTCTTCCACAGTGCGGTTTTCTAGAAACTTTTTGCCTCGCACAACCACATTATGGAATCACCTTCCAGCAATGGTATTTCCGAACCGATACAATATTGAAACCTTCAAGAAAAGAGCTTATTCCTTTTTAAAAGGCCGACAACGTACTTGCAATTCCCCTGGTGTTGCGGGTGCTCATGGGCGGCGGTAATCACTTACCATCAGGTGAAAAAAAAAAAATATATATAAACCTTCCTCTTGAATCACTATCCGGCATCGTACGGGTGTAATACACGTACACCCGTACGATGCCGGGCCAGTAGCTGGTTACTTAATATAAAACACTAGTGAACAATAAAATAGTATTATTTTTTGGACCACTTAATTAATCACCAGTTAATCACTAGTACTCATAACACAAGCTCCGCTTAACTTGGGACTTATTGTGTGAATTATCCATAGATACACGCGTACACTTAGATTGTGGAATGAACTACCTGCCGAGGTTTTCTCGAGAGACTACAGCATGGGGGTTTTCAAGAAGGGTATATTAAGGTTTCTTAAGTGTCGGCAACGCGCATGTGACACCCCTGGTGTTTCAGGCGTCCATAGGCTACGGTAGCCATCAGATGGGCCGTATGCTTGTTTGCCACCTAAGTGGTATAAAAAAAAAAAAAAGATAGCAGCAGATCGCTATCCGTCCGTCGGTCTTAGAATACGACACTCCTAAACCGCACGTTGACGCATCACCATTATTTAAATTTGTCCCGTAAAATTGCTACGACTAAAGCAATTTATTAAAACCTCTTACCGACTGTCATTAACGTTTTACGACGCAGCTTGTCAACGCGCGGGTCGCGTAATCGTCATAACCCGTTGACACGGGGCCGTAAACGCCGGCCGGCCCGCGGCGCCTGCGCCTACTAATTGATCCGCTCCACTCCGTATCACCGATTTTTTTCTCCCGTCCCCCGACACACGCTGGGAATGCTTTTATTCCAGCGACATGGTACCTGTTAATGTGTTAATCCACTCCGATCGGCTTGTTTTTCGGTTATTAATAGCCAACAAACAAAAATGCGACGTCCCGCTCGTACAAGCTTGCTCTTTCGAAAGTGAAACGGTAACAAAAGAATTATTATTTGCCGTAATCCTTTGGAGCATCTTATCAAATTGCATATTATTATATTAATGGAGTTTTTTGATAACATTTACTAGGTTCCGTAAATGATGACATGATGACTT